AGAGAGAGAGAGAGTGTTGATATGTTTGAAGAATAAAGAGAAAGTTGGCAGTTTTGTAATAAAAAGGAGAAATGTTAGGGGTGTTTTACAAGAAAATGTATTAGTATTAGCAAGATTTTGGAGAGTTGGCAAGTTATGATGGGTGAGTGACAGTTGTGGGTAAAGCTAGTTTTAGAGTCGTTTTAGTAGTTATTAGATAAAACTGGTTTTAGTTGTAGTAGACATTTTTAGTAGTCGGACTTGTAGAGAATTATATTTTTGGAGTAATGTTACATGCCCGGAGTGCTTTTTCTTCTTGGCTTCTCAGCTCTGTTTTAGTTGGGTGTAAAAACAATAATCCAATTTGCATGATCACCTTTCACAACAGTATTCTTTACCTATTTCTGCTGTCACTCCACGCAATCAGAATTTAACTCCTCATCCATTGCGGTCTTTTCTGTAATATCTATGGAGAGAAAGCTTTTTACTGTTGTTCCCTAACCTCTTTGGAAATCTGGTAGAAGTTTTGAATTTTGTCCTTGGAAAAATGTACACACACACATCCAGTTTTGTGTACAATTTTAGGATGTTCAGGAAACTTTAGAAGCCTGTTAGCCTTTCGGGGTCCACAGACCCTCACTGTGAACCCCTTCTAGAGTGGAAGCTCAGGGAGGGCAAAAGGCCGCCGTCGTTTCCCTCTGCTCCTTCTGCACCCAGCAAGTGCTCGGCCCGTCATGGCCGCTCAGTAAATGACTGTCGCTTTTGTTGAATGGCCCGGGTGCTGGATCGTGGCCTCCCGCAAGGCTGGCCTCTCCTTCCGAGTGGCACCAGGTGCTCAGATGACCTGGAGCAGCCCAGTGCTCTGGTGAACCAGCGCGACCCGAGGCCCAGTGTTTCGGGGGTTGTCCCAGATTGTTACGCAGCGCGTTTGTGCAAGAGCAGGTCTGGAGTGAGGGCTGCTGATTCTAAATCCCACGCCCTTCGTGGGGTTTTCTAGGCAGGCAGGGAAAGCGTCCAGATCTCCACACCCCCAGGAGTTGGCCTGTCTTTCTTCCATCACTAAATACTCTATCCCCTGTGGGCACAGCAGCAGGACAGTTTGGCTGAGACCTCCAGCTCTCTCGCCAAAGCCCCTGCTCCTCCGCTGCTGTCGGTGAGGTCAGCCCGGCTGCTCCCCCGCAGGCAGCTGTCCCCAGTGCCCTGGAAGGGCTCCAGGTGGCAGTCTCACTGCAGAATCCTCCTAGCTGTGCTCGCTGCCCGGTGCCTTCGCAGACAGCCCGCTTCGCACCAGCCCCGGGAGGGCTCTGAGGCAGGGTTGCAGGTCGCGGGGTGGCGAGTGCAGGGAGCATTGCAGGGCCATGCCTTTCTCTTCCTGAAGCCCCCACGATCGTACAATGGACCGCACATCCCTCTGCTGTGTTCTGCGATGATTCTCAAGAGCACGCAGGCAGTTGACGGTGACGCTGTGTGTGCGCTTCCTCCCACGCAGGTGCTGGGGACATGGGCAGCAAACCGTCCACGCCAGGCGGTGACCCTACAGCGCAGTCCCCGAGGACGGAAGGCATTCGCGCCGCGTACAGGCAGGGAGACCGTGGCGGCGCCCGGGACCTGCTCAAGGAGGCCTGCGACCAGTGCACGTCCCAGCTGGAAAAGGTAGGGGGAGTGCCTGCCCCTCCGGCCACCAATGCAGTCCTGGGCTGGAGGAAGGTGACCGCTCAGATGATTTTCTCGTTCTTGTCATAACTGTAATGAGCATTCTTACTGTGTTCTGGAAATGCCTCATTTTGCATATAAACTTGTGGGCGCCTTTCCTTTCCAATTGACTTCTCAGTCTGCTATCACCTAAGCAGGCCCCTGCCACCTTTTCATGGGAGGGCTTTGAGGGACAAGGGTGGGGTCACTTAAATGTAAAGAACAAAATGCCACCCAGAGACTTAACCTACTGTATTCTTTTACGCTTTTTGTCATTATAAAAAGTAGCACATGCTGGAAAAATAAAATGTAGAAAATACATAAAAGTAGGAAAAGTGGGACAAAAAAGTAACCAAATTTCTAATACACCCTAAAACCCACTTAACGGTTTTGCTGTATTTTCTTCCAGCCTGCCGATCTGAGCATACATTGTTGCTGCTGTTGTTGTTGTTGTTGTTGTTTCTAATATAGATGCCACCAGATTGCATATATGGTTATGCAGCTGCTGCTTGTACTTTTATAATATTATTTTAATAATTTTCCAGATGATTAAAAATTCCTTATAGGCGTCTCCTTCAGTGGATACATGACATTCCATCTACAGGGAATGTATTCACCCGGCTATTTATCTTGGTTGGATATGTGGATTGCTTCTCATTTCTTACTAATATAAATGATGCTCTATTGAATGTTTTTGCCGAGTTCTTTTCTTATTGTAATGTTATTTTCTTAGCATAGATGTGCGGGGATTGAGAATGTGGATATGAGGACTTTTAAAGTTTTGGAGTACATGCCAAGCTGTTTTCCAAAAATCTTCTACAGATTAACCCTGCCAGCAACAATTGGAGTGGGCCCTTACCACGTTTTTTGCCCTTGTGGGAGATTCTTATTGGTTATTATCATGAAAATACCTTAAGGATGTTTTATTTGCA